AGAGAGAAGGACAACAAACAAGGGAGGAAAAGAGAAGAAGAAGAGGAAGAGAAAAGAAGAATCTCTCTCGGATGAACAGTGGTCTCACTTTTTCCTCTTTACCCCTCCATATACAATTCTTTTTCGCTTCAGATGTAAGCTCATCTCTCGTGTTTGATGCAAAATTATCACATCAATAAATCTAATGTGCTCCTATCTTTCGTTATTCCTCGTTATATGAGTTTGAATCTAAAGTTAATAATGCTTGGCTATGATTTACCTTCTTTATTATTGATAATTGGAGTTGACAAAAGAGTCTTAAGCTTTTTGTTCAAACAATGAGTATAATATATGTAGTAGGCTGGCTAGTATAAGTACTTAATATTAATATATAAGTATTTTCCTTTTGTCTCTCTAAATAAAAAGGCATGAACATCAATTAAAGAATTTATACTTATGCGACAAACTTGAAGAATTTAGTTAAGAAGTTGGTATACATATTACGGAACCAGCTCTAAACTTTCAAGTAGAATGGATATTAAAGAAAGGGATACAGTATCTTTTTTCATGTTAAACAGTTGGGCCGCACTGTTGTATCTTGTGTGCTTGTAATTGCGGGAGATAAGTGACTCCACATCGGACGGTGGAAAACACATCAGCTTCCATACTTCCCCTTACCAATACGCCGCTTTACGCCATCTGTGCTGTTGCTCCTTCTCACTCCCAACTCCCACCGATCTTTCTTTCGTGAAGCACTTCCTTTTCCCGCCTATTAAAACTCCTCAATGCAACTCCAAATGCTCTCTCAATCTCACTTCCTTTCTCTAAATCCCCGCACCTCTCTACCTCTTTCCTCATCAATCTCCGTCGTTAATAGCCGGAGAATCGTCTCCGATTCACTTGCTTTTCCACATTCCGATACCAATTCGTTCGCAATCTCACGCGGAGTCAAATTATCGTTGCCTACGATGACTTCGAATTGTGTGCTCGCTAATAACGCACATATCGCTGATTTAGGAATTGAGGACTCTGAGCTCGACAAATTTGCTGCTGTAGGTAACAAAATGGCTGATGCTGCTGGTGAAGTCATCCGCAAATACTTCCGGAAAAGCTTCGATATTCTCGACAAAGAAGATTCGAGTGAGTGTTTTGTTGATTTTAATTTACGCGGATAAATTGCTTGCGAATGTTAACTATCCGGAGATTTTTTTTCAAATGTTTGTGGAAATTTATGGTTAAAGGTCCGGTGACGATTGCTGATCAAGCGGCGGAGGAATCTATGGTGAAGATAATTCAAGAGAATTTCCCTTCCCATGCAATGTGAGTTAGTTTTTGCTCTCACTAGTTTACTTATTGCTCGCTTTAATATCGCTATCCTTGTATACACTAACTAACAATGTAAAAATTCTTACCAGTGATTTTTATCTTGTCATTTACTATTTTTATCTGATTAATAATTAATGTCTATCAAAAATATTACATTTAATTATTAATAGTGACCTAATCGTGTAGATATTTTCTATGACGTCCATGCATAGAACTTAGTCTCTCCATTTTTACTTCTAATTGATCGATGAGTAGGCTTCCCCTTTCGATTCACGGAATGTGATTTTTTTGACAGCATTCGAGAGGAGTATTCCCTCTTCCAATATGTGTGCATGTTAAAATTTTAAATTGAATGGCCTATGGATGGACCGACCATTTTCAGCTTGGCATCACTGTTGCTTTTAGCTCAGAATGGCTTATCTTAGTATGACGGTTAGCATATGACATTTATCAACATAACCTCACACTCACCATAGGGAAAGAAAGGCACTATCTCGTTGTGGTTATGTGCTCGCTGGAAAACTTATTTTGTGACATGCCATATCTCATTCTATCGAGAGCCGAAAGACAAATCTTCTAGAAAAAAGCGCAGGCAGTACAGTTAAAATGGATCTTATTTGCTGAAAAGCTCCCGTGCTTTGAACTTTGATAAGACAGTAATAGAATACAAGTGAATTTTCCACAAATTTTAACTGGTAGCCCAGTCTATCTGCTTGTGTAGGATCGTCCTCGTGGTAGCTGAATGCCATTCACACTTTTAATTTGACGGGCACAAGTCAATGCAATTCTTATATTTTTTGTTCATGATATTCTGTATTGTGTCATCCCCAGTGTGTTGGAATAAAAATGGAAGGCTGTCTTTCAATGCCGTTGACTCCTTAAATCATTGATCAAGGGTTAAAATGATGCTTTTCCTGACCTTTTGTCTCTGTTTCATGTACTACACAATCTGTGTTCGCTTGCTGAAAATCTGTGTTTAAACTGCTTGGTGATAGTTATGGAGAGGAGAAGGGATGGAGGTGTAAGGAGGAAATTGCAGAGTATGTTTGGGTTTTAGATCCAATAGATGGGACGAAGAGTTTCATTACAGGTACCTGCTTGTCTTTCCCATATCAACTCTGTTTAACTTGTAGTTCAAATATTCATTCATCGGTATACTTTTTGCTTACCAGGGAAACCCTTGTTTGGCACTCTTATTGCTCTGTTGTACAAAGGTAAACCGGTATGAATCGCTAGCCAGTTGATTTTATTTTTATCATTAAAAAGCCTTGTTTGCTATTAGATCAATGAAATCTTGCTTATTAGTCCTGTCAACTATCAATTTTTCTCCAAAACTTCGTCCGTATCGAGACAGTGTTTGCTAGTTGGAAATCCAAGGGTTATTTTACACTAAAACAGCGTCTGTTGGCATACTTTTGATTTTCTAACTGTAGCTAAGAAAATTTGCTCTTGGCAGAAGACATCGGGTATAAGTTATAAAAAAGGAAACGGAGATAGATACTCATGAACTTATAAACCAAAAATAACAGCAAAAAGGGAAATTTGAGGTTCTCATGTAGACTCTGCCTAAATATCTACAAGAGATTTTCTGTACCAAATACAATTGAATATCCATATTGAGAACATGCTTAATCGCCTCTTTATTTCATTTCTCTCACAACAGTGAAGTCCTAGATCACTTGGTTCATGCATGGTTCCTATGCATTACTCATTTGGTTCTATACCTGTATATGTTCTCCCTCTTCTTGAAGGGCGAAAGGTCTGATGCCTGAGTTGGAATATTGATGTCTGTTTAAGAAATTAGCAATATAATGTAGGTGCTTTTGCCTTTTTGATTTCTTAATAGCTGTGAACATAATATTATATTTATGCTTTCTTTCCTTAGTGCCATATGGGATTACTTGTGTTAGTAATATTGTGTTCGACTCTGGAACCACCTCATAACTTTCTCATGTGTAATGAGAGTTCCAGCCTAGGATACTATCTTTAATCTCCTTATATTATGCTCCCGTAGACTGTTAGACACATATGCAGATAAACTGTGTTTTCAAAAGTTTGTCTATGTGATCCCTTCATTCATGCTTTTCCAGATTCTTGGCATTATTGACCAGCCTGTACTGAAAGAGAGGTGGACTGGTTTAAGTGGGCGGCGCACTAGCTTGAATGGGCAAGAAATCTCCACTCGCAGTTGTTCAAGTCTTTCAAAGGCCTACCTGTACGTTGCTCCTTGGAACCTTTTCAGTTTTCTCTATAAAAGATAGAACACTGTTATTCACCTTCAAGTACTTGTATTCTGTGTATCTGTTCAATTTCTCAGGGTTATCAAAAGTGTGCTACATCTAGTTCTCATTTCCATTCTTTCTTCAAGTTCAGGTACACTACTAGCCCACATTTGTTCGAAGGCGACGCTGAGCTTGCCTTTGCTCGTGTTAGAAGCAAGGTATGTAATTCTATGGCCAAACAACCATTGGATAGAGTTCTAGCTAATGTGCAATCAAGATAGCAAAAACTAGGGAATGAGTGCAATGAGAAGATCTGAGTAGGGAGGAAACTGAAGAGGAAGAGAGAATGAATAAGTTTCACTCTCTTTCCTCTACAGCGAATTCTTATCTCTTCCCTCTATATTTGTTACAGGTGAAAGTTCCACTGTACGGATGTGATTGCTATGCTTATGCCCTATTGGCTTCTGGATTTGTGGATCTTGTAATAGAGTTTGGTCTTAAGGTCAGCTACTCACTCCTTGCTCTATTACCTAGACTAATAAAGATATGATTTTTACTTCACCAAATGTGCATATTGAGCTTTTTCCCTCCTTATAGAGGACAGCTAGCGTCTCTTTGGTTATGTCCAATATTACTAACTGATTGAAACTTCGGTATATTCCCTGCCTGATAATATTGGTGCAGGGGTGAAATTTCGTTGTTTTACTTCCTTCAACCAGTGATCTTAAATTGCTTTTTTGGTTTTCACAATCTCTATGCTGATGTCAAAACAAACATTTCAGCCATACGACATCCTCTCACTTATACCTGTAATAGAAGGTGCTGGAGGAATTATAACCGACTGGAAAGGACAACAACTTACTTGGGAAGCTTCTGCTGGTTCACCAGCCACAAGTAATTCTTATCACTGTTCTCATTAAAAAATATCGTTTCATATACACAACCTAACCTTGGATGTCTGAAAATATGTCCCAAGTCTATGTGAATTAAATTCGGTGTTCAATTGGCAGGTTTCAATGTAGTGGCAGCAGGTGATAAACAAGTTCACCAGCAAGCTGTGGATGCATTGCAGTGGCAGTAGACGCAGCTATATTTCAATTTATATAGTTGAAGTTGAAGTTGTTCATAGGCCAAAGGGATCTCATTGCATAGGCTTAACTCCCTTGGGCGTACATGAATGCTATTAAATATTTTCGACCGAGACTCTAGGTTAATTTAAATTGTTAAACTGAATTATGTAGTACATGAATGCTATTAAATATTTTCGACCGAGACTCTAGGTTAATTTAAATTGTTAAACTGAATTATGCAGTCCACTGTTGTAACCTCACGCTGGTAATTGGTTCATCTGACTAATTGACTACTTGGATTTTCCTGTTCATAGTCACGTTATTTGATGGCAAGAAACCTTATACAATTTCGATCGATTTGCATTGAAGAAATTACAAGAGAACACAAAACTACACTCAGCTAGAACAGAGTTCGATTGGATCCCTATGCTGTATTGAGTACCACGACCTTTATACAACCTGAGGATCAAGTAAACGTTTGTTTTTCTTTTTGGGTCCAAGGCAAATAATAATTCAGTACATAGAAACGCAATACAGCAAATAAACATCCACAGTGTATCTTCTATTCTGACATTCTTCAACAGATGTGACAGAAATAAATCAGTAACTGCAGCTGCTTTCAGGGAAAGGGTGGCTGCTTTACATAATCTAAAATACAGAAAGAACAAATCTCAAACGGCACAAGCACAGCAAAGATCGCGTTCAGTTGTGTCATTTGGTCCGAGGGCCCTATGCTCGTGCTTATTCCTTACCAAAATCAGCACTGTAGTGAGCACTTGATTCAAGTTTCTTTGCTTCATTCAGTTTCCTTACCGCCTAAAAGGAAAATAAAGATAGAATAGGAAAAAAAATTAAGAACAAAAAAAATAAAGTAGAAGTAACAACGCATCTCTTCTGGAACAAAGTTCCAACGATGACAAATAGGGAGAAAGAATTTAAGAACACGGATACTACTAACAAAGTAGAAACACAAAGGCATCTCTCTCTTCCGAAACAAACCTATATCCCTTAGTGAAAGAATTCTAAGCATGCTTTCATTAATAATAAGAATTTAAGCATGCTAAATCTAAAACCAGAGGTGCTTCACATGATAAGACAAGTGTAGATTTACCATGAGTCACTTTGGTAGCGTGAAGAACTCTATTGGGTGAACTCAAAGAAAAGCCAGGCAGTGAAATTAAAAATTACCACTTTGCTAACAGAAATCTTGGAAAAGAAGACCAATACCTTCATGAAATCCTCATGGATGACATAATCACGCTCTGCACGAATTGCAGACATACCGGCTTCAGTGCAAACATTCCGCAGATCAGCCCCATTAAAACCCTGAGGATAAAAAATGCTATCAGAAGTTTGATGCGACAAAAGCGATACAATGGTTTTTCTTGTTAGCATCATTAGCCCACCTCAGCAAGCTTGACAACAGCCTCATAATCAATTTCACCATGTTTTGCTATCCCAGCAGCATGGATCTTGAGGACTTCCATTCTTGATTGTTCATTAGGCAAGGGTATTTCTATCTTTCTATCTAACCGACCAGGGCGAAGAAGAGCTGGGTCCAAAACATCAGGTCTATTCGTTGCCATAATCATTTTTACCTGAAAACAGAATAAAGATTAAAACGACTCAGGCAAACAAACAATATCCCAGCCCCCTTTTATGCATTCTGCTCCTCTACGAACATGCTCAAAATCAGAGGCGGATGCAATGTGGTAGATGCAGGCAGGTTCAATTGAACCCATAACTTTCGACGTGGAGTAGAAATTTATGTGTAAAAATTCATTAAAATTGCAAAAAATATTGGATTTGAACCCATAACTTTAAAAATATAATGGTTTCAATGTTAAAAATCTTAAAAGTTGAACCCATAGAGTTTAAATCCTGAATTGCCTCTGCTCAAAATACCTGTTGAAAATTACGAATTCAAAGAGATTAGACTAATCAAAGTAAACAAAATCTGAACTTGGATGTCACTTTTCCTCCTATTAAGGAGGAAGACCTATGGATAGGTTATTTAAACGGTGCATGAATTTATGCATAGATTCTAAGAATAGACTATGATAAGCAACTTTAACATTCCTTCCTTTATCAGCATATTTAATCAAACTTGAAGAATTCAAAGAGACTACGTATGAAAGGATGAAAATCATAGATCGTGGACTATGGAACAAATTCCAACATATATAGAAGCAAACATCTAAGATCAACCTCTACCTTGCCAAGCTGGTCGAATCCATCCAACTGATTAAGCAATTCCATGAGCGTTCTTTGAATTTCACGGTCTGCACTTGTCCCCTCGCTAAAACGACGTCCACCAATTGCATCAATCTCATCCATGAAAATGATGCAGGGCTACAATAAAGACAATGATTTTCAGATTTTATGCCACCTCCAGGAATCACCAATTTTATGATTTTCAGAAATTTTATGCAGTGAATGCAATTGAAACCTTACTTGGTGATCACGAGCATAATTAAACATTTCCCGGATCAATCTTGCACTCTCACCTATGTACTTATCAATAATGGCACTCGACACAACCTGCAGGAATCACCAGTTATAAAAGTCCGCACTATGAGATGCTATTAGACAGGAGGATATATCTAAAACTCTAGTAATCCGACCTTTAAGAAATTGGCATCTATGTTGCTAGCAATTGCCCTGGCTAACAATGTCTTGCCCGTTCCAGGTGGCCCATAGAGAAGAACACCCTGAGACATATTAAAAGCAAGATCAATCTTTGTCATGCCGAAACTTAGAAGAATGTGTAACACAAGGTTACATTGAACAATTTACCTTTGGAGGCTTAATCCCAACACGAAGGAAAAGCTCGGGGTTCATTAGAGGTAACTCTATGGATTCTCTCAGCTCCCTGATCTGATCTGACAGTCCACCCACAGCAGAGTAACTTATGTTACCTGGATCTTCATGAAGCATGTTGTGTACTACAGGATCAACCTGCCATAAATTTCTCACCATGAGGAAATTGGGATGGACAAATGTAATAATTTTAAACATAACTCAAACACTTGGTGCTTGCAAGCAAACAATAACTACTGACTTCACGGGGGAGTGCTCGCATAATTGTAAGTGTCGTCATATCGAGAACCACTCTTGTGCCTGAAGTCAGTTTTTCCTTGTCCACTTTACTGCGACAGCCAACCACATACCGTGGGCCACTGCTAGCTTTAACTATCACTGAGACGGTAATGAAAAGTACTGGTTAGTCCCATAAATTTCTTCCAGTTCCTTAGCAACTTCTTTCATGTCAAAGGAAAAGGAAAGATACCACAACTTTGTGGTCAATAGTGCATTCCTAGGAGTAAAGTAATATTAGTCAAGATAAAGGCACTTACAACGCTCATTATCTAGAGGTCGGAGCACTTCTCCTATGATCTGCCCAACACTCTGAAGAGACTTTAAATCATCTTCTGTTTTAGCATATTCCTTTTTGGTAGCCCGCAAGTTTTCTCTCACTGAAGAGAGCAACTTTACAATTAGTAGAAGTAATACAATAACAGAAGATAAAAACAGTCTGAATACTATGAGGTTTTGTAGGATTAAGAATTTAAGTTGCTTATCAGCTTATAGAAAAGGCAAGTTAATAGACGGAACAAATATCAAGGAATAATCATGAAAGTACAGAATAAAAATATATTGCCTCATGATCACTTATAAAAAAATATGCTCTAAATTTTTCACTCTCACCCTCACTCTCACTCTCTCAAAATCAATGCGAACTTAACTGAGAAAAGAATAACATGGAAGCAAAGGATTCATCCAGGAGATACCAACTAGATGGGATTAAAGCTTAGATGTTACACTTATTAGACACTGTATTTTCCAAGATTCTTTTTAGCATAGTTAGACTTATATGTCAGTGTAGAGATAAGTGTGATTTTTAAGAACTTCTAGGTCAAGAGAAACTTAGTTTTCCTTAAAAGCTAAGTATTTAACTATACTATAACAATGTGTCTCAACATAACGGATTAGATATACAGGATTCATACAGTTGAACCAACTAGCTTGGGATAGAGAGTTGGATTTAATTGGCAAACCTCTATTAAGAATTATTTGTTAATATGCCTATGGAAAAGACTGGATGTTATATGCTGTATCAGCCTCTCATCTTTATTCTATAGTAAGAAACTGTCCAAAAGATTTCCAACCTAAGATTGGATATTCAGCAAGTAAGAACTTGTCCTTTTTTCTCAATAAAGTACTAGCACTTGTACTTTGTGGTGATAGAGAATCATTTTAGTGAATGAACAAATCTAACAAATGAAAAGACCAAAAAAATGGCATGATCTAGTAAACAACAACCCAGTAAAATCCCACATGATCTAGTAAACGGTTTCACGCAAAAAAATCCTGCTTATTACGAGAACAGGAAGCTATTGTCCAACGAGCAAGAATTGTTGATAAGTTAGAAAAGATATGTAGCAGTAACATCTGTAAGATTGAGAGGGTATTTGGATTGGCTTATAAAAAGTAGTTTTTAAGCTAAAAGCTAAAAGCCATAAGTTGGTAATACCCAACTTTTGGCTTTTGGCTTGTTTTTGTACTTTTTATGCCTAAAAATAAGTGCTTTTAAGCACTTTTTATCATTGCCAAACACTACACAAACTAAAAAAGTGCTTAAAAGCCAATAAGCACTTAAAATAAGCCAATCCAAACACCCTCTGAATCTATAAGAAACATTCTCCAGTAGGTTACACTGTATTATAAGCCACTATGTTTTACCCCAAACCTTGAAGAAAGGGCATCCCAGTGCACTAAACTCCAGCTATGCGCGGGGTCCGGGGAAGGGCCGGATGACAGGTGCCTATTGTACGCAGCCTTACCCTGCATTTCTGCAAGAGGTTGTTTCCACGGCTCGAACCCGCGACCTCCTGGTCACATGGACCCCAAACCTTGATGATTCATACAAATGTTTTACATTCCAAAATCATTATAATTACGCACATGAATTTTTTACATTCCAAAATCATACATGTGCGTGTGTCCACATATGTGAAAAAGGACTGAAAAGTTTAAGTCAAGATACAATAATACATCAAGCACTTATAAGGTAAGGAATGATGAGAAATGATTTAGAATTTCAGAGGTCAGAAACTGTAAAAAGAAAGTGACTTTTACACGTAGTTTAATGGACTTGTTCATTTGCATTGACTTTCCTATTTGATGTTTCAAACTTTTAATCTTTAACAGTTCTTCCTAAAATTAAAATACAAACTCAATCACTCCTATGTTAATCATCTGTCTACTCACCTAAGCAAGTGAAAAGCATAAGTGTTGGCTGACATACACATTTGAATTGTTGGAAGTGCAACACAGAACCCTATAAATCCTTATATCATCCAAGGACACCCGATGCGTTCTCTAATCTTCTTCTTCTTTCCGCGTAATGCTTAATCTCAACATAAAGCTATCACATTTTAATGCAAATTGGCATACATCTCACACAAGTATCAGGCAGGTTCAAACATATAAGAATTTAAAGTTTAACACATGAACAATTGCTGCTTCGTCTTTGAGCATAGAACATACAGTATCTAATCGCATAGAAGAACAAAAGTTCTAAAAATCGAACTGAAGAATTATCAACAAATCCATCTCATTTAGGAGTAAATAATTGTATTAATTGATAATACTGAACATCAATTATTAGGGCACTAGGGTTTAAGATTGAGAATGTGACCTGTCCGAACACGAGCATCAAGCTCCTTGTGCTGAAGGAGCTTCTTCCGATAGTCGGCGAGTGCCGTACGGCGTCTGACGGCTTCTTCTTCGGTCGACATATTGGAATTTGCAGATCTGTGGAAACTGCTTTCTGATATCGGTAGTGAACAACCTCTCAACTTGAGGAACAAGCAATGTATAGATCCCTTGTTCAGAAAGTACAATATTTTGAGCACACCGTTGTTTGAAAATATATAATCTGCAATTAATTATTATTCCGACGTATAGTAGGGGAAGACGTACAGGACCAACTTGTTGGGCTCACGGAAATCATCTTTATTCAAGCCCAAGGTATCTGAACCCAAAGTTAAAAGAATAGCAAATGTTAACACCTTATTTATTCTAAATAAATATCATTTAAAAAAAATTATATTCTATAGATACGTTTTAATATTTATAACAAAATATCTAATTTTAGTTACCTCCTACCCCTAAGCCACTAAATACGTTTTCAGTTACACTATTTTCTTTCTCTCTCTACTTTGATACATGTCATTCTCTTCCCCCATTCCCTGAAAACACGATGCTCAATCTCAAAATTCCTCTCACCCACATCACCTACGTTCTCTCTGATCCCAATTTCTCCAATTCCATCGGACATTGCTTTGTCTCTTCTTCGCCATTGTAATTGGAACATGACTAAAGCTAACGAAGATTAGGGTTTGTTCTGCCACCATTCTGACTAAAGTTATCGAAGATTGGCTCTTCTGACTAAAGCTAATGAAGATTGGTTTGTTCTAACTAAAGCTAACGAAGGTTGGCTCTTCTTCTCCTTATTCTGCCACCATTGCTCGACGGCGGATTCGCCGGAAATTAGGGTTTGTTCTTGAATAAAGACGACGGAGTTTGGGCTGAGCAATTTAATTTTCTGTTAATATATTTTCAACGTATCATATGTATTTTCATGTATTTTATTGTATTCATTATCTCTTTTTCATTGTAATTCAATATATCTCGTTGTATTTCATTGTATTTACCGTCTTTTTTTTCATTGTATTTCAATGTGTCCCATTGTATTCTATGTATTCGTTGTATTCACTGTCTCGCTATATTCCATGAATGTATTCATATATTTTTTTAATTAATATAATTTATGTATTCAGATGTATTATATAATTTCTCTGAGATTGTATATTTTTGTTGTATTTTTCGGTTGAGAATCTTTTTTTATAACTGGAAATATAAAATTTGTGTGTTATAATTGAGTTTGTTGAGTTATATTAGGAGTCTATTATGTTAATTGATTCACTTTCCGTTTAAAAACAGTGTAATCCCATATTTCACGCCGTGAATACAGTCGAATACGATAATCTGTCCAGCTGTAATCCCATGTTTCATGCCATGAATACTGTCGAATACACTCGAATACAATAACTGATTAGCTTGACTTCCCTGATTCACGCCTATTTTTGCTACTGTATTCATGAATACAGTAGCTTAAATACATCTAATACATCTTATAACAACAGAAAACATATCTACAATCCGTAATATAGCAAATGGTATCTATAGATAGCTAATTACCACTCAAAGATAGTGCTTTATGAAAATTTCTCTTAAAACAACGGCAATAATAAATTATATATAGTTATGAAACATTATATTATGGCGAATGTTCATGACTCCTAAATGAATAACACCCACTACTCTTTTACATTATCTACGTAACTCCCACTACTCCAATACTTATGGTTGTAACTCTCATACCTCCATAATCTCTCCCATGATCTTTCTCCATGATCTTAAATGCTTAATGGCATATTTATGAAATTCTTTTGGCATACATAGAGGATGATAAGTTGTTTGTAATACACTTGAATACATGGAAGAAATTAGAATCTCTTCTCTCTTTCTTTCTACATCTATTGTCTATTTTATTATTTTATATTATTACTTTGAGCTAAGTTTCTTATCCCGTTATCAGTACGAGTCTCTAACCAATTGAGATATTTATATCAATCGGATAGTATTTCCTTCCTAAAAGACTTTTACAATCATCACAGTTCTCCTCATTGCATCTAGGCCAGCGAGCTAGGCAAAGTTTGAAACTTTCCCAAAGTGTTCTCGTGAGCCATTGAAATATCTTGAAGATGCATTAATATGTCATATGGTTGCATATTTTATCTTAAGTCCCTTGGTAAACTAGCAAGTTCCTGAGATTAAGTTCAACTAGCTTACAAGGAGTGAATCTATGCATTCTTATTTTAAATTATTTGAGGTTGGCTTGGTCTAATTTATATAACATAATAATACAAATAAATTTCTGCAAGAAAATAAGCTGACTAAATGAAGAATGTCCATAATGACTATGGCTTGAAGGTAAGACGGTGGATTCAAGTTCACTGCACCATGAGGGTAAGGCATCGAGTATGAGTCTTGGTGCGCCGTGATTATAAGAGTTGGGTTTGATCCTAACTCATTATAGCCTAACATGTTGTTATATAGGTATGACATTGGGTTTGAGTCCCAATGCACCATACTGATGATATAATGACGACTAAAGAAAAATAATATATTTTTCATGAAAAAGCATGAAACTTGTCCCACTTGATTTGCTCCATTCTTGAAGTGAATGTGATAGCGGTGCGTATAAGTCCAAATGAAGACAAGTGGTTGACCAATGAACATGGGCGTGCCAAAGATCAAATAATAATAGTCATCATTATGGTAATCGTAAAAAGGAGAACAATAAGAGTTCTCACAATAATCCTTCAAAGGTGAAGGAAATGTGTAGCAATATGGTCTATAAATATGAGGCACGTTCAGACGATCATAGTCCATTTTTTGAAAGAATGCGACTTGTAATAAGCATTGTAAATGCAGACTCATTCCTGAAAGTGAAAATGAAAATATATATGTGATATAAATTATGCAAAAGGATATGCTTATGCATAATTGAATAAATACTACAACTCACCTCTATTGGGAGATTTGAGATAAAGAAAGATAATGAAATTACTTTGTGGTTACAAGAATATGTCATTGGTCGCGTACATGTGGTACGCCAAAAATATTTTGTCGTGCCTTATAAAAGGTTATTAAAGGAAAAGTTAAAGCAAGAAATGATTTTGCTTATGATGATTTTTACCATGACAATTATTAATATAATTTTCTCCGTGAAGGAGACGTTCACCATATGGATGGTGTGACAAAAGATCTTGTAGTACAAAATTAATTAAGAGCTCCGAAGATCTAATTTGTTACCACCTGCATGAATGAAATTGTTCGTGATATTGATATTGTAGTAAGCCTCAAAAGAAAATTTTTAAGTTTCAAATATATTAGTCAAAGTGGTTGGCACATTGAGACTATAAATGAAAGGAAGATTGAATACCTTCATATAATCAAACCGGATAAATATAAAAAGTTACCCGATTTTCATTCTATTTGTACTACACAAGTATAAGCATGATAATGGAATCACATGCCACAAGTAAACTAGAGGTTTACTGAAACAAATATTAGTTGGCATGACCGGTTGGTCATCCGGTTCAATTATGATGCGAAAAAATTGATTGAGAATTCACATTGGCATATATTGAAGAAATAAAATATTTTTCAAGAATTCTCTTGTGCTGCTTATTCTCATGATATACCAGCTAAGGTTGGAAAAGAATCCCCTGATTTCTGGACCGAATAAAAGGTGATATATTTGTGGGCCCAATCACCTTCCATGTGGAGCATTTACAATTATATAATTTTAATAAATGCATCTATTATGCAGTCACATGTGCATTTGTTATCAACTTGCAGTTTGAATTTTACAAGGTTGATTGCTCAAATTATTAGAGCACATTTCCAAAATATAAATTATGATTATTTATCTTGATAATGTTGGTTTAGCAGAAATTGTATGTCTCCAACTATAGTTATGAGAACAAAACTACCAAATAAAAAGAGATGTATTATGTTATATGCAGCAGCACTTGTACGCAGCTAGCCAAGTTATGATAAATTCTCCCCGTCACATTTGGTTTAGGGTCAGGATCCAAATAATTCCCATATTAAAATATGGATGTGCTATATGATTTAGTTGTGCCACCACAATGCACAAAGGTTCCCAAAGAAGGTTGGGATATGTGTTGGTGATCCCAACATTAGGGGGAGAAAATGGGCAGCTGAAAAAGTGATACGTGGAATGAATTATTATGAATACATCTAGATCTTCGTACAAGACAAATGTGAACTTGAAGTTCAAGTGGTAATTCATTTCCAAAATATTACCATGCACATTTGCTGACCTAAAGCTAAATGTCATATTCCAGCTACTAATGCTCCAAATAAAATAAAGTCCATGATGGATAGAGTCTATGACACACATAAATCGTAATAGACTAATTGGTTTCAAAGATAAAACTTCTTGAAGAAGTAGTGGCCCAAATAATCAAGATGGTCATTATAAAGAGGCAAATGCTCTAGAAGAGCATCACAACATAACACTCTATAAGACCTCATGGAAGAGGCTCATGTACCTGAAAATAATGAGATCTTGTTAAGTTATATCTTTATTGTGTGATGATGGAACCGATGTAAAATGATCATCGATGATATTGTTGATATAATGTTGCGCTCAATATTATTAATATTGATGAGGATCTTAAGCCCACATCTATCATGAAATTTGGACAGATAAATGATTGGGCAAATAAAAAATACGCAATGAAATTGACTTCACCCGAAAAATGTGAAGTTGGACAGATAGTCCCAATACCTGAAAGTGAAATGAAAAATCAAGTTGATAGACATAAAGACGACTTGTGGCACAAGATTTTTCGTAAATATCGTGGCATTAGCTATATGGAGATATGTTCTCCCGTGGTGGATACAGTCGCTTTCAGGTTTTAGTCTGGCAATACATTTGATATGCATATAATAAAAATCATTGAAGAATTTAGATTGTTCTGAAGCACATAAACGTTCCTAGAAAAAATGTTATAAAGCTTCAACAATCCGTATATAACGAATATGACTTGCTTTCGTGTCTTAGTGAAATTGGTGTACTTATGTTTCTTGCCAGAACCATGAGTATAACATTATGCTAGCACAATTAAAATTTACTTCGACATGGGAACACTAGAATGCGATTAGTATTACATTGCAAAAGTAATCATTGTTAAATATATATATATATATATATATATATATATATATATATATATATATATATATATATATATATATATATATATATATATATATATATCCTAACAAATACTGTCAAGATTTTGTTGGTTATGCAAATGCAGGCATTTTCCTGAAGTTTGTTCTTCAAATAATTTGCATGTGAGGGTACTGCCATATTATTATTCTACAAGGCAGTTAATTGTTGATACTTATTCAAGTCATGCCAAGATAAGCAACTGATAAAGCTAGTGACTCAACATACAACAGACGTGTGACTTTTCTTTGAAGAGAATATGCTAATAATATTGAAGATGATGTTGTTTGCACAGCTCAATTGACAGAAGATATACCGAAGGAGACATAATAAAGCAAATTTCGCCAAAGTCACTACTACAAAAAGGACCTTTGGCGGCAATTATTTAGCGGCAATAAGACAATTATCGCTAATATATTATTTAAGTTGAAATATTAGCGGCACATGACCATTAGCCAGTAAAAAGTATACTTTTACCGACAATAAAAATAAATTGCCACTAAAAATTAGTACTAATTAAAATCAATTTTTTTATTATTTTAACTTTCCCTCCGCATCCGAAAAATAATAATCTTTCCTTCCACTTTTTTGGGCAATAATGAATTATTCCCTCCAATTAGAAAATAATAAAAAAACCTATTCCCTTTATTGAATGGATACAGAATCGAACGAAAGGATTGACTAACTCGCGTAACTCCTCTGCAAGCCTACATCTATCAGGTCTCCGCGATAAATCCTCTTTTTCCCAAGGTATAACTTCTCTTCTTACCCAACAAGTGTGATTTACAATTGAGTTTCAGTATTCTCCCTTTCATCTGTCGCCAACTTCTCTTTTCTTGTAGGTTCAAGATTGTTGCAGAAATCATTCTTCTCCTTCACTTTCTTGTCTTTATCGGCAAAAAAAATCTGCTTACCAGGCACAGATTAGTAATTTTTGATATCCAACTATTGTGTTTTGAGATTTGTGAAAGTATAGCTTTTCTACATATGTTAAGTCGTTTGTGATAACCGACTGCTGTTAAATTGACGTGCGATTGATTGGGTTTATTCCTCCTCTACTATTTTATGAATTGGTTCCTCTGTATGTTTTCTAAGTCTACTGTTATTCTTGTGATTGTTCAGAAATTTTCTACATATTGTGCTTCAATTTCGTACTGGTTTCATTGCCCCTTCGTAGCGTGTATTTGGAAGAGGAGTTTTGGTCTTGTCCTCTTACTTGTTGATAGATATTCTTGCAGTTCTTCCTCTACCATAAGTTAGAGTGATTTCTCTTATTCTTTTTTTTGGTTGATAATATCAACTTAAGGTTTAGCCCAAAAGGCATGTACTATTGATGGCCAGACTTAAAAATCTAGTAAAATAAACTATGTTGCTTAACCAACGATATCTGTTGTCTTGAGTGACCAGTTGTCCATGGTGATACATTACCTAATTAGAAGGTCATGTCTCACTGTCCGTTTATTTAGGCTCACTCAACCTTCTTGCTTTGTTTGGCCTTGGCTTCTTCAATACCTTTGGTCTTTCTTTTAAAAATGTTATTGGAGTTTTAATTTAATAAATATTCTTATTTATTGGATAACACATGGTTGGTCGATTGTGTGCAAGATTTATGCTGCTTCAAACAAACAATCTGTCTGTCATGGAGAATGTAGATTTTCATGATAAGCAAACCTTTTGGCATTAAATGATTTTCTAAACTTCTATTTTTTCATGTGCTTCATGATATTAAGGATTTAGTATGTTGTTAAGCTAGACTCACAGCTCTTAAAGAGACTGTACAGCGACTAGGTTGCTAACCATAATCATGCTAGCTCATTTCTATGCAAATACAAATTCTAGATTTATTGTTTTTACTCATGTCGTTTTTCTGTCTTTTCAGGTTGTAATATTAATTCTAATTCCTAAATTGTGGGTGCTAGATCTTTGAGCAGGAAGAATTTACTAAAATTTGTTGTCTTCTTCCAATATATTCCGAGGCTCCTTCGAGTTTATCCTTTATATAAGGAAGTCACTAGAACTTCTGGCATACTCACTGAAACAGCATGGGCTGGAGCTGAGTTCAATCTTTCTTTATATGCTTGCCAGTCATGTAAGTTTGTAATAACTTATAAGCTTGGTTATAAAAGGCTATCATACTGTGCACTCAGATAGTTTAAACTAATGTGTTGCAAAATTACTTTCGGGATGGCACCTAAGGTCTGGCCTGTGGTCAAAGAAGTGGGTGCAAACTTTGGGGACTAAGGTCCAAATCTCAACGTAGACAAAATGTTACCTGATGATTTCTTTCCATTTGTCTCGGTGAACAGGTAGTAGGTACCTAGTGGAATAGTTTAGGCGCGCACAAACTGGCCATGACACAACTGTTATAAAAAGAAAATTGGGATGGTTGTATTAAAAAGTGTCTTTTTAAGCATTGATTTTATTTTTGGTCCCCAATTGGTGTTGTAGGAATAAATTTATTGATTTTCACTCATCTTAAGTTTTTGCTGGCATGCAAACATATGATTACTACAGATATTCAATAATATTAGCAAGTAGTTAAGTCATAATCTTATAGTCCGTTATTCGTGAACTATCATTACTGAAATATTGATAATAAGTTATTCTCTGCCTTTTAGGTACTTGGAACGTTTTGGTACCTCTTTACAATAAAACGTGAATCTACTTGTTGGCAACGAGCATGTGGAAATTCATCTGCGTGTCATCACTCTTCATTGCTAAATAGTTCATGTCCTATAGATACACCAAACGCAACGCTTTTTGATTTTGGGATATTCCTTGACGCCTTCTAATCTGGTGTTGTGGAACTAATGGATTTTCCGCAGAAATTCTTTTACTGTTTTGTCACGACCCCAAATCGGGTCGTGATGGCGCCCAACACTAATGTTAGGCAAGCCCGACCATTTACTCTCTCAACCCGAGCACAAAGCTCAAAACCAATTAATCAGATACTTAAAATCAAATATTAATACTCATAGTTGAAATACTCAATTAAAACAATACGAAACACTGACATAAACTGTAACTCCCAAAGACCTGGGGTCATGAGTCTAGAGCCTCTAACTAATACAGAGTCAAGAATCCTCAAAATAAGTATGTTCTAAAGTACGGAAATAATAAAGGGATAAGGGAGGAGTCGGGTCCTGCGGACGTCATAGCAGCTACCTCGACCATTCCTGGAACTCTGGAAACCAGCGGCTCGCTCAACTAAGCTCCCGAAGTACCTGAATCTGCACACAAGGTGCAGGGAGTAGGGGGTGAGTACTACCAACTCAGTGAGTAATAAGCATATAAAATGTCTGAAGATAAGAAATCCACGAAATGCCACAAAGTAAAGCTAAAACTAACAGTCCAACACCTAACTACGAACCAACAGCAAAACAACTTCAAATATATCAGTCAAGTATAATGTAAGGATGCAATGCAATGCACATGACCGCTACGGCGCGTAGCCCGATCCATTTAACGTCGACGGCGCTCACTGGGGGTGTGTACAGACTCCGAAGGGGCTCCTTCAGCCCAAGCGCAATATAATCATACCATTCGTTGCGGCGTGCAGCCCGATCCATACTCAGTCCACAATATGCATATGAGTCACGTAACAGATTCAATTAATTTCCCAATTTCCAATTTATTAAGAAGAATATACTTTAGATATTTAACTTCAGGAAAAGTGACTTAGCATTTCATAACAGTGATTAAACACAGGACTGAGATCAATGATTATACAAAGCATGCTATCACAATGACATTCATCCTCTAAGGATGCTACAGATCGGCACAAGGCCCCAAACACGGCAATAAGCCCAGATATATTCAATACAGGGTGCGTATCAGTCGCCAATATAGAGACATTCTTGTTCGGGATGGACCAAGTCACAATCCCCAGTCATAACCAATCCCGCACCTGCCATGGGATGCGAGTCACGCCCTACAATAGCGTCAAAATGTGATAAGCCGGGGTTTCAAACCCTCAGGCCATCATATACACCAACTACTCACCTCTAACCGGCCGTAGACTGGTCCGCAATGCCTTTTCCCTTTGTATCGACCTCCTCGCGCGTCGAATCTAGTCAAAATCACAACGAATACATAAATATCGGGTTAAAGAAACATAACCCAATCAAAAATACTCGAAAAGTACTAAAATTCACGAAGTTGGTTAAAACCCCGAGACCCCGGGCCCACTTCTCGAAAAATTTTGAAAATCACACCAACGGATTCCTCGTCTCGCCCCGAGTCCGTACATATAAAGTTTACCGAAAACGGAGCTCAGATGGCCTTTCAAATCCTAAAAATTCGTTTTCAAAAACCAAGCCCTAGTTCTTCACAATTTCTACCCACTTTCATGAATTTGAGTGTTGATTCTTCCATAAAATGGTGTTTTCTAGTCAAGAGACTTACCTCAAATCAATACCCGTTGAAATCCCCGTCAAAATCGATCAAAAAGCTCTCAAGGCGGTGTAAAAATGGTGGAAAAATGATGGGTTTCGCGACTGAAATAACCCTTAAAACTATTCTGTCCGCCCAGTCTTTCCTCTATGCGATCGCAACACTACTAATGCGATCGCATATCACAATCTCAAACCTCCCAAAAATTCCTTCTACGCGATCGCAGAACATCCCTTGCGATCGCAGAGCACTCCTTTTCCTCTTCTACGCGATCGCACACCTAGCCAGACCGCACTGACCAAACTCCCAGACCTATGCGATCGCAGAGCCCTTTACGCGATCGCATAGTGCAAAAATCTGAGCTCCCTCCAATTCTTCTATGCGATCGCAGCCCTGTGCTCGCGATCGCGAAGAGCTAATTTGCTCTGCAAATTTCTGCTGCATTTTTCAACATCAAAAATCCCCGTTAGCCATCCGAAATCACCCCGAGGCCCTCGGGACCTCAACCAAAAGCACCAACATACTCCAAAACATCATACAAACTTGTTCCAATCACCAAAACACGTCAAACAACACAAAAATCATCAAATTACCACGGATTCAAGCTTAAGTTAAACTAAAACTTCCGAAACTTGCATTTGACAAAAAGCCCCGACCCAACGACATCCGAACGACCTGAAAATTTGCAGACATATCCAACATCACCTAACGAAGCTATTGAAACTCTCGGAATTCCATTCCGACCCTCGGATCAAAATCTCACCCACCAACCGGAACTCGCCAAAATCCAACCTTAGCCAATTCAAGCCAAATTCTACACCTGACCTCCAAATTGAATTCCGACTTCACTCCTAAGTCACAATCATCCCCCGAATCTACCCGAACCACCCGAACTCACATCCGAGCCCTCTAACTACATAGTCAACTTCCGGTTGACTTTTTTCCAAAGCAAGCTTCCTTCAAAAAGGCTAAGTGCCATATTTCCAACTAGAACCAATCTAATTCTACCCGATCAACTCAAATACTGATATTAAATCATGGAGGGACATAATATGGGGGAAACGGGGCGGTAACTCACGTGACGACGGGCCGGGTCGTCACATGTTTCTGGTGGGGTCTGCAGAACTTGAGGTATGCTTGCTATATTTGCTTGAGTTTTGCATATTCAACTTCATGTTTGCTGTTGATATTTTTGTACCTATCACTCTGTCTAACCTCATATGCATGTTTTATATTGTTGTTCTCCAACCATGTATTGCAAACTGAGGCAGGAAGAGTAAGAAACTCTTTTTGATAGCTTTTGGCTTATATTTGTGTATCTATGGCTTAGCATAATGCACTTCACATGATGCTAGACACTGGGGTTGTCCGGATATGAGATGGATACTTGTCATGCGAGATATATCTCAGCTTGTCCACAAAGTCCGGCTTTAAATGTTTTTTATTTTTTCAACAAGTTATTTTATAGCATCTTTGAACTCGAAATGTCGAGAATTTATTTTAGTGAAAGAATCTTCATTTGAATATGATGAGGTTAAAAGGATCTTTAAGAACTAGATTCAATCCCAAAGATTGGCATTTAGGATGGAGATGTATTAATAAACAACGACCTTGTCTTTCTCAGTTTCATATTAGCTTCTCTTATTCATTTTAAGTGATACTTTGCTCCTTGATGTTCGGTCAAAACCTACACACAAGTACCTATGTCTGGGAAATTTGCTTTGCAGTTTTCGTTTCCATTGCTGGCTTGGTGCAATTTTTCTTTCTCATTGGAAATATGCAGGTAGATTCTCTTTCCGGTCTATTTCAAAGTTCAGGCAATTAAAAAATTATTGTTTACACTAACCTTCACTTCCAACTAAGAGGTTGTGAGTTCGAGTCACCCCAAGAGCAAGGTGGGAAGTTCTTGGAGGGAGGGATGCCGAGGATCTATTGGAAATAGCCTCTCTACCCCAAGGTAGGGGTAAGATTTGTGTACACACTACCCTCCTCAGATCCCACTAGTGGGATTATACTTTGTTGTTGTTGTTGTTTACACAAAAAGACCCGCCAAAATAATTTTTTTCCAATAATTGAAAATATTTGTGTATACTCTTTTCCTTTATTTTCCTAGTGTTCTGTGATCTATGCTCATATTACCTCAAGCACATATTAACTTATATACACTTTCTTTGTCAAATCTATTTAGTATTATGAGCAGATTAAAAGTGACATGCTTCACTATTATCACAGTTTCTCTTCCCAACATTGCATGAGCATTGTGTGTTCTCTTTTACTATATGGAACAATTGACTTATCTAATATTTCAAGCAAGCTTTAACTTAGCTTGGAATTGAGGATTATTATATTTCATCTATTGACATAGTTATTTTATAATTTCAGGTCATATAGTCTGATATTCGATAATTTAGCGGGGGGAAGATTTCAATATGACAAAGACTTGCAGAAATTATTTGAAGATTGTTATTCGTTAAGATTAGTTATATAATGACATTAGCTATTTACTTCAAACAATATAAGTTAAACTTTTAAGTTATTGTGATATTAATATTTTGGATTAATACTTCCTTTTGTTTGTTAAGATTTAACATGATATATTATCGTTTTATGTATTAGTATTAATATATTTTGTTATTTGCATTATTTTTTGGTCAATAGTAGGTATTATTAATGGTAGCTGAACTTACCGTAATTGCTTGTGTCTTAGTGCCAATTTAACAAGATATATCAGCTATAACAATGGATGATAAAAGGACAAATTAAGATGTTTATGTAGGGATATTATAGCTATTATATTAGTATTAAAGATGATTTTTAGCGGTAATTTAATTGACTTTATTAGCCATTAAAATGGATGCTAAAGGGACATTTATATGAGATGTTGCCACTCTAATTGCCATAAGACAATTACCACTAAAGGTATGGACTTTTAGCGACAAATATTTTAAATTTAGTGGTTATAAAAATGATCGTTAAAGGAGCATTATTAGCCATTTTTAGAGTGGCTTTAGTAGCCATAATAATTGCTGCAAACATTTGCCGTTAAAGCAATTAGTTTTAGCGGCAATCAGTCATACCCTTTACCAGCTTTTGTCAGAAACGCCGCTAAAGGCTTTACCGACCCCGGTTTCAGTGGCGAAACACCAATTGCCGGTAAATAATATAGCGGCTATTGTAATTGCCGCCAATGTTGTTTCTTATTGCCGCTAAAGTCCCCAATGTTGCTTGATTTCAAACTGACAAATATTCATGCTCGGATCCAAACTTAAGCTAAACATACAAACACAGCATGAAACTTCAAACCAACTAACTCTTTTCAATACCAAAAAGTAACAAATCTAGAGAACTAATCAGCACCCAAACTCTTAAAGAGCACACATTCATTTGTATAGCATACTAAAAATATGAGACAACTAAGGTAACAGGTATGATTCAGGACTTATTACAGAAATGCTACAGGAATAGAGGAAAACAAAGAAGCAAAGCTCAAAACAGTTTCATATTCAGTCAAGTTTCCATTCGAAAATGCATGTTTGCAATCACTTGCCCTCCATAGTTTACAGAAATACTGGAAATTGAAAGGAAACAAGAGAAGTGAGGAAACAGTAGTCAGCAGTGGCAGAACACTACAATGCAACAGTGTCCAGAATTAACAACTCAAAACAGACTTTAAACCCCAATTCAAACCATTTTCCCAATCAGCAATATCAAACAAAAACCCAGCTGACTTGAATCGGAGACTCTTAAAAATTCTAAAGAACCAAAGGAAGCAAAATCTGAAACCAGGAATCTGGTTTTTAGCAAGATTTCAGTGTTTTAAAGCTTGAAAAACCCCAGCCGTTTTCAACTTTTTCCAGAATTTTGGTCTCTAAAGTCTGCCTTGTTAATGAAGTAAGAATGCCTTTATAGGCAAGCTTTTAGGGCAGCCTAAAAGAATTCAGTTTTGCACTTGAAATCTTTTTGAATTTTCATTTTTGCTCTATTACCCTTAAGTTAAAAAAACAGTATTTCACTTTGGTCCCAGAGGCACCTTCCCAAAAACTTCCTCAATCAGTTACTCAAAGATTCCCCTAACCTAAATTCCTAAATTACCCCCTTAAGCCCTGCTATTTACTTCTGAAACCAGAACAAAATGGGTCAAATTAACCCAATAACCTAAACCCAATTTGGACAGACTGCTCTTTGCAAATGGATCAGAGACAACCCAAAGCCCAAACGACACACTTATCTAATTAAAAAAATCTGTAAGCACAGGATAACATGAATACTGAAATGGCTTCAACAATTAGAAAATCTAGACTAAATGACGTATTAACTAATTAACTAAATTAACAAATCTAAACTAAACTAATTACAAAGTAAATGCATTAATTAAAGAAACATGATTTAAAACTAACATGCATAGAAAAACGACCCTGGAGAAACTAAAAAAAATAAAGAGGAATCAAGAAGAAGAGAAGAAGCAAAAAAAAAATAGAAAAAAAAATGAAGAAAAGTGTCACGACCCACTTTCACAATAGGTCATGAGGGCGCCTGACACCCTTGTCAGGCAAGCCATTTGCGGAAAACATTTCTAAATACTTACATTGCTCTTAATTAAAAATAAGTGAGATAAACACTCAAAGTGGAATTTAAATCAGAAGAACTGAATACTGTAATAATATGACTACACAACCCAAAAATGATCGTCTACCAAAGTGTGTGCCAGAACCTGGTGTCACAAGCTACGGGCAACTAGTAGAATATACATCCAAAAGAATACCACACTACCCTACTGTCTAGATCCGAATAGACAGAAAATGGCAATACAAAAGAAAGACTTCTTCGGCTGCGGATCGACATGGAAGGGAAGCAGCTCACCGTAGAAGTCCCAAGCCTGCTCACGAGTGCGCACCAGAGAAGTAGCCGGATCCACCTGCCTCAGACCCTGTACATTTAAGTACAGAAGCGTAGCATGAGTACATAAACAATATGTACCCAGTGAGTATCCCGCCTAATCTCGAAGAAGTAGAGACGAGAGGTCGACTTGATACTCACTAGGGTCAAGATAATATAATATAATTATGCTATTCTAAGCATGAAAGTCACCAATATTCAAGAAGTTATAACAAATAGCAATAGTCATGTTTTTGTCCTTATTTCAGTTTCCATTTTTCAATTTCAATTTCTACGCAAGTAGGCATGTCATGTTCAAGTATCAGCATATATATATATATATATATGTATATATATATCATATGCAACCACACCGAGGTCGACGGCCCGCTCCAATAGAATTAAAATGTGCACTGCCGAGGGTCGAACGGCACAAACCATAGATGCATCTATTCTCACCGAGGTGATCGGCCCGATCCATAAATCAAGAAAACATCAAGAATGCACACGAAGGTTCATACATATACCAGGAAGCTCTTACCAAGGCTTAGCAAGTTCATACGTTCACTTCATATTTCCTTTAAGTCTGTAGCATATCATGAATGATCATAGTGGCAATTTAAATAAGAGATACTTTCAAATTAGGCATGATGTGGGTCCTAAACTACCCATACAATTATATCATAGTAGCTACGCACGGACTCTCGTCACCTGGTACGTATGTAGCCCCCGCATTTAGAAACAATTATTCAGTTATTACACCTATGGGGACAATTCCCTCTTACAAGGTTAGAAAGGAGACTCACCTCGCTCCAACCGCGCTCCCAATATCGAGAACAAGCCCAAGCTCTTATTTCGAAGCCGAACGATCACAAACTAGTTAAAATAGGTAAGAACTAGTCAATAAAGGCTTAAAAGGTCGAATTCTAACTATTTAAGTAATTTCCCAACCTTTTCCACACGTTTCCTAAATTCTGACCCCGGGCCCACGTGCCCGGATTCCGATATTTTTCGAAGGAAAATGTTCTCTACAAACGAAGGATCAATAATATATAAATTCTAGTCCATTTCATAACAAATTCCATGCTTAAATCTTAATTCTATCAAAACCCTAAGTCTAGCTCTAACCCTTTGATTTTATCTAATTTTTAGTGTTTAATCTACCTAATATACATGTATTTAAACTAATAATGAATGGGAGTAACTTACCTTGAAGTGCTATGTTGAAACCCTCTCTTTGGAAGCCCCCAAATCGCCTAAGTGTGGAGTGTAAAATGAAAAATGGTGTTTGGGTTCGAATTAAATGAAGGCCACTGCCCAGCGATTTCCGCTTCTGCGGTTAGGGGACCGCATCTGTGGTCCCGCATCTGCGGAACTGGGCAAGAGGGGATGGGACTGCTTCTGCGGTCTGAGGCCCGCATATGCAGAACCGCTTCTGCGGTTACTGGACCGCTTCTGCGGTTACTGGACCGCTTCTGCGGCTAATGCCTAAAGTAACTGGACCGCATCTGCGGTCTGGGGGCGCATAAGCGGAACCACTTCTGCGGTCCCTGGGCCGCTTCTGCGATTCCCCTTGGCCTGCCCTTTTCGCTTCTGCGATGGCCTGACCGCATCTGCGGTCCCGCTTCTGCGGCTCAAGAACCGCAGATGCGGTTATGACAGAAGCAGCAAAATCTTTAGCCCTTCCTAAGTTTTTCTACTTCGCAGAACCTCGCTCGTTTGACGCTCGGGGCTCCCGAGCCCCGCCCGAACATACCGACAAGTCTGAAATCACGAGGCGTACCTACTCGAACCCTCGAAACTCCCAAAACAACGCTAAATCTCGGAATCACCCCCTAAAACCAAATGAATCAAACTATTGAATCTTCAAGTTCTTAATTCTCCTCTAACGGGTCAAAACGCCCTTAAACTACTCGGATTGACACCAAATTTTACGGGCAAGTCTTAAACGACATTACGGACCTGTAACAAGCTTCGGAACCAAAATCTGAGCCCGATACCTAGGAAATCAATGATTAATTAGTTTCTTTAATTCCTTAAAGCTTCAATTAAACAATTTTAGATAAAAAAATTCATTACTCGGGCTAGGGACCTCAGAATTCGATTCCGGATACACGCCCAGGTCCCATATTTTCCCACGGACCCTCAGAAATTATCAAATTACGAATCTGGGCCCGTTTTCCTAAAATGTTGACCGAAGTCAAACTTGGTCTTTTTAAGAAATCCTAAAGAAGCAAATAGGTATATTTTTACTCAAAACCCTTCCAATACCCGAAGCAATCGCCCCCGCAAGTCGTAAATTAGCTAAAGCAAGTACGGGAGGCTTTATTTAGGGGAACGGGGTTCTAAAAGGCAAAACGACCGGGTCGTTACAAACAGATTAAACCAAGGAAAAAAGGAAAATACCTAACAAAGTCTGGACAATAAAGAATGGAGCCTAAGTCTTCAAATCCTCCGATTTTCGGCCAAATCTGATATTAATCGTGTGTTCTTATCAAGAACACACGAATAAAGTCAAACTAGACCTAAATCTTCAATGAAATCTCGATTTGGGATTTTAGAGTTCGAGCCTAGATTCAAAATTCGAGAAGTTCGGGATAGATTCTAGGGACAAGAGTTTGAGATTGGGAAAGAGGGAACCATGGGGATTCTGGGGTGTTAGTTTGGGGTGATTTGGGGTTGGCGCCGCCGGGCGGGTACGGTGGGAAGATGAGGTGGCGATTTAGGGTTTTGTTTTTGGTCTCTGAGGAAAGGTGAGGTGAGAGAGATGATTAGAGGGGGGGACATATTCGGACACTTTTATATAAAATGGACCCCAGTTCCGGGCCGTCCGATCAAACAAGATCGACGGTATTGATCACAAATAATCGAAACGACGTCGATTGGGGTTGCAACGGGACTGGACCGGGTTAGGGCGGATCTGGGCCTGGTCCGGTCGGGTATCAGGGTGCAATTGTTTGGGCCTGAGAAAAAAATTAAACAAATGGCCCTAAAAATCTGATCTTCTATTCTTTTCCTTTTCTTTTACAATTTTGAAATTCTTTTCTTTCTTTTTTTTCAAATTAAAACAATACCCTAAATTAATCCTTAAACTAAAATATTCTACCAAATTAAACTAATTACTCAAAATACTAATTACCACCACTAAAATGTCAAATTAAAAGAAACTACCCAAAATTCAAAAACTAAAATTAAATATGCAAAAATAAATTATTTTTTGTGATTTTTCTATTTTTGTAAAACATATTAATTTACTAATTAATCTAAAAAAATATATAAAATTAAATCCTAAATGCAAAATGCAACATATTTCTTTTTTGTATTTTTTATGAATTAAATAAAATTAAATATGCACACAAAAACAATCAGGAAAATTCTAAAATAATTCTTAAAATAACAAACAATTAAAAGGAAAAAATCTAATTTTGGAATTCTGTAGGAGTAATTCAGGTGAGGCAAGAATCACGTGCTCACAGGTAGTCTAGAGTGTTCATAACAGTATTATTGGCACGCAGTCTCGCTTTCTGTTGGTAGTAGGGCTTTATTACTAACTGTTGTTTTCTTTCACTGTTGATCACCTTACTATCTTGTTGTTTTTATTCTGCTTTTGCATGGCTTTTTGGTAATGTCTCTTCTTATCTATATTTTCATTATTGTGGTGCTTATGCTTTCCTGAACCGATGGTCTATGGAAAATAGCCTCTCTATCCTCACAATGTAGGGGTAAAGTCTGCGTACACACTACCAGAACTCACGGTGTGAAATAATACTGGCTATGTTGTTGTTATTTATTGATTGCAAATTGCAATTAACAAATGACGACCTCTTTCATATTTTGTTTTTCGTTAATATAGATAACTACCTTGTAAATATGTAATAACCGTTGTTCCATTGATAAACAAACTTGTCCGTTGTTTTGTTTTTTTTTTTTTTTTTTTCTCTTAATTTCGTAATAACAAAAAAACAGAGAGAACTTAAGCCAATGATACTGAAAATGGTCATAAGAATTTGTGAACAGAGAGTTGCAACTTCTTTATACACTAACGAAGAGCAGGGAGAAAATACCGGCAGATTTACCATATCAACCACTAGAACATTGTAAAGCTAAAGAAACTAAGGGCGCAAACGCTAACAGAAATTCGAAAAGCCAAACCAAAAATCTCCCACACCCTACAACAATGGCGATAATATTGGCAAAATAGACTGAATTCAAATCTCTAATTCTTCATTTCCACCATTTCCTCTCTTTCCTTTTTTCTCTTTCATATCCCTCCATTCATAGTATTAGACAAATTTTTCTCAAATTTCATCCCCAAATCCTCATCAAGAGGGGCTGGAGATGAAAAAAATGCCTAGAGGATCACCACCTCCACCACATTTCATCTCATTCTTATCGTCATCAATCATGGCCAATATCCTCATGGCGTTTATTTGCCTCATTATTCTAAGCCCCTCGAGTATAATGCCCGTTTCAGCACAATCAGATACTGCATCTGCAAAATCTTTTCCAGCATTTACACCATCAGATAATTACCTTGTTGATTGTGGATCCACTTCTCCTACCACTCTTCCAGGAAATCGCGCGTTTCAACCAGATCAAAATACAGCTAAATATTTAGCCTATAGTGGACGTGACATTCAGGCTTCTGCACCAGACAACAATAATAATGTACCTTCACCTATATATCTCAACGCGAAGATTTTCAATAGTGAAGCTACTTACACATTTCATGTGACAAATCCAGGATTGCATTGGATCCGTCTTCATTTTTTCCCTTTACAAAATAACGAATTTAATCTCCAAACTGCTAAATTCTCTGTTTCAACAGATAATTTAGTCCTTCTCCGCGACTTTCAAATGGAAAAAAACGAAGCAATTATGAAAGAGTTTCTCGTAAATGTCACAACTGAACGTTACGCTATTAAATTTTCGCCTTCTGAAGGATCAATTGCCTTTATCAATGCAATTGAGTTTGTTACTGCTCCAAGCCAAGTACTTGACTACTCTGTCCCTTTACTTTTCCCCGTTTCGCAAAAATTTGATCTCTCCAATAGTAATTTTGAAACTACCTATAGGCTTAATATGGGTGGTTCATTTCTTGATGCAACAAATGACACTTTAGGGAGAAATTGGTTACCTGATTCACCGTTCCGTAATAGTGCCACTGGACAGGTTGTTTCTGTTCAACCATCTGCTATTCAATATCCTACACCGGGAGGTTCGCCTTTGATTGCTCCTCCTACAGTTTATAGTACTGCAGTAAAAATGGCAGATTCAGAAACTACTATTCCCAATTTCAATATATCATGGATGATGGATATTGATACCGCGTATTCATACCTCATTCGCCTTCATTTCTGCGATATCATTAGCAAAGCGCTCAATGAGCTGTATTTCAATGTGTACATTAATGATAAGATGGCAATTTCAGGGCTAGACTTGTCATCTTTGACTAATAATCATCTGTCTACAGCTTTTTACAAAGATTTTGTGGTAGATTCCTCTTCATCATCCAATCCGCTCAGTGTAAAGGTTTCTCCAGTGAATGATGTCCAAGGATTCAGGAACGCGATCTTGAATGGTCTTGAGGTTTTTAGGATGAATAATTCTTTGGGTAGTTTTGATGGAGAATATGGTGTTAATGGTAAGAAGAGTAGTGGACCAAGCAAAACAGTAGCTTATGTTGGTTTTGCAATGATGTTTGGAGCCTTTGTAGGATTAGGTGCTATTGTTTTCAAGTGGCAAAAAAGGCCTAAAGATTGGCAAAAGAGGAATAGTTTCTCCTCTTGGTTGCTTCCACTACATGCTGGAGATACAAGTTTTATGGCAAGCAAGGCTTCATTGTCGCGCAAGAGCCAATTTTTCTCTTCAACAATGGGATTAGGACGGTATTTCTCTTTTGCTGAATTGTCAGACGCCACCAATAATTGGGATTCGAATGCCATAATTGGCGTTGGTGGCTTTGGAAATGTGTATTATGGAGAAATTGACGATGGTACCAAAGTTGCTGTTAAGAGAGGCAATCCACAATCTGAACAAGGTATCAATGAGTTTCAGACCGAGATTCAGATGTTGTCCAAGCTCAGACATCGCCATCTGGTGTCGTTGATTGGTTATTGTGATGAGAACACGGAGATGATATTGGTTTATGAGTTCATGCAAAATGGTCCATTCAGAGATCATTTATATGGAAAGAACTTACCTTCTTTGTCCTGGAAGCAAAGGCTAGAAATCTGCATTGGATCCGCTCGTGGGCTTCATTACCTCCACACGGGTGCATCTACAGCGATAATTCACAGAGATGTTAAAACCACCAACATTCTTCTCGATGAGAACTTAGTCGCAAAGATGGCTGATTTTGGGCTATCAAAGGATTGCCTTTCCACGGAGAGTCATGTAAGCACAGCTGTGAAGGGAAGTTTCGGGTACCTTGATCCTGAGTACTTCCGCAAGCAGCAACTAACGGACAAGTCAGATGTGTACTCGTTCGGGGTAGTACTTCTAGAAGCCTTATGCGCTCGTCCTGCAATTAATCCAGCACTTCCAAGAGAGCAAGTGAACTTGGCTGAATGGGCATTGCAATGGAAGAGAAAAGGATTGTTGGACAAGATTGTTGATCCTAACCTTGTGGGCCAAATTAATCCAGAGTCAATGAAGAAATTTGCTGAAGCAGCAGAAAAATGTTTGGCAGAATGTGGTGCTGATAGGCCAAGTATGGGTGATGTGCTGTGGAACTTGGAATATGCTTTGCAGCTGCAAGAAGCCTCATTACAAGGAAAAACTGAGGAAGAAAATAAAGCATCTGCTGCTCCGGCCTCTCCTGCTATAGTTGCCCCTAATCCTGCCCCCGCCTCTGCACCTTCCACTCCTGATAACCGACCAATTTCTTCACCCGAGCAGACAAGAAATCCTGCTGAACTTCAAACAATCGACGATCATTCAGGAACTGCAATGTTTGCTCAATTTGCTGAACTTAACGGCCGATGAATGCCACAATCACTTTGACAGAGATTATAATAGAAAAATCTCAATTGGTGTACCTCAGCTGAAATATATATGTATATGTAGTTGGAGCCAGCTCTTCGCTGAATGAGTCACTATAGCTGGCGGACATGTTTTTGATTGTTTTGCATTCCGAACATGAAATGCTGGATGTGTAGATGGAAAAAAGTTTGTGAACTGAATAATAATGTACTATTGTATAGTATTATTTACTTCATAGTTTCTCTTTCACCCTTACTGTTGTGCTTTTTTGCAGTCTAGATGGGGTTAATGCTCATTGAATGTAACTATATACGCTGACTGGTTCTGAGCAATTTGAGTCACATTTTGCTAGATCATCATTTCAAATACAATTTTTTCCGTCGCTTGAAAAATTCTCATACCATTTTCAGTTTGCTATTCAAGGTCAAACCAGTACCTTCTGTGCTTAAGGTACGTTGCAGAGTGCATACAATATGAACAAAATTTGCAATTAATCCATGTCAAGCCTCTGATGATTTGTAACTCTCTTGAGGCCATCAGATGGGGATTTCTATCCTTCCTTTTTATGACGACTTAAAAATAGTATGTACTAGCCGATGGATACATGAACCAAAAATTAAAAAGGAAATGCAGTCGTCATAGTAACTAAACACAGGAGACACAATAGTAAATGACCCGATTTGAAAGTGCCTTGTAAAATAGTGACAATTACATTCTTAAACGGTCATATCTGTTAAGCCAGAATCGAGACTGCTACAAATGACAATTAGAAATGGAGTTACTGGGGGCATCATGCCAGTATCAAAACTTCATGAAGTTTGCACCTAAAGATCAACAACTCATAAGTTAGGATGTGGCAAAAAGAATCACTGTTTCCCTATATCGTACAAAGTTAGAAGCACAGCTAGAATTAAGATCATGGAAATTATTATTGCACCCTCTTTTTCTTGCTGATGTCTGAATTTCCATCAAGCATGACAGTATCAGTATGAGTATCATCCTCTTCCACATGGCTTTTAGTCTGCATTTCACCAGTGACACGGGATACCTCTGAATCGGCAGCGTCTGAAATGTCAGACAACTTTCTTTTATTCCCAGCAGAAAGAATTTCAGGGTCTTTGAGAATAATTTCTAACTCATCATCATCCTCTGGCTCCAGCTGACTTGCCTGAGATGCATTGGATGAGCTGGGGCCATTGTCAGATGTTTTGGTTTTCTTTTCTGCTGCAAGAGCTGGTGTCCATCCTGAAAGAACCATTTCATCAGGTTCTTTCTCCTCATCAAACTCTTCTCTGCAAATATAAAATCATATAACAGTTCAAATTAGTTTGAGACTGCGGAGCAAGAAGAGAAGAAAAAGTAAATAATCTTCAGGATTGAGGTCAATGGACAAAATAAACAGCATAAGCAAGTATTTATATGCAGAATGCCCTCAAATTAGCAATGTACTCCCAAATACACTAAGACAAGTCCTCCAAAAGGAATACAAAAAGGAAAGGGATCAAACCACCAGGCACACAAAAAAAAAATTTATGCTTCAAGTCTCATACTATGGATTGGGTGAGCTTCAAAAGCAAAAGGGAAAAAGCATCAAAGAAGAAAATATAACAATTACATCAAAGCAACAGACAACCACACGACTTGGAACAATAGCCATAGCACAAGCTGGTGAAGAAACATCTAGTCTATATGTACATATAATGTCTCGAACCAAGCCCAGCAGAGACTACCCCATTAAGCAGCATGAGAATATCTAATTGAAGAAGTCATTGCCGAAAGATTCCGGTTGTCTGGATTTTCATTTCCTTATGTCAGGAAGAGTTATATTCTTCATGGCAATAACGGGAAATCTCTAGACAGGGAAAACCAAGAACACAAACAGCTCTTTAAATCAGCTACAAACATATCAATCAAAACTTAATCAAGCCAAGATGGAGATTCCAGCTTCCTTTCTAATATGTGAAGCTCATAGTGGAGTCATCATCATAATCTAGTGGTTAGTGGCACGTGCACGTATTTCATTTTAAGAAAATGAATTCTAAGTGTCCAAGGTCCATTACAGAATGGTCAACCTGACGTGCGGATCTGGAGATGTCATTTGAGAGTATCTCAATAGAACGTCTAACTTCTTTCCCGTTTTAATTCTTAGCTTAATTGGACAATTAAACATACTCCCTTAATTTTATTCAATTAGATAAGAGGATCCATTAACAAAATATTGGTGATGTCCATTTACAAGGAAGTCTACCAAAAGAGACTTACAGTATCAACGTCCTATTTGAGAATTTGGGCCAATCATATTCTTCGAAGAATCTTTGTTAAGACAAAAGCGGTCCCCAGAACATAAAAGTGCAAAGACAGTTTTAGGTACATACTGAAACAACTCAAAAAGGAAGTGAGGTGGTTGATTTGTGAGAAGGGAGTGGTTACCTTGACTCCGAGCTATAGTGAGAGAACAAAAGTAATAGACAAACACCTTACAGCTATAAGATCAGAAAATTTTCAGGAGAACACACAGAGATTTTGAAAGTTCTCTTGCTACGCACTTGGACCAAAAAGTAATCAGTCCCCCACAAGCCAAGAGCAGCTCTTCAACAATTAAACAAAAGATCGAATAAAGACTCTGCATCCACTTCGCCCATTAACTGTATCATATTCCAAAGGCTAGTCCAGGCCAGGTTTAATAAGCAGATTCATTTAACAACACCAACTTGCTCTTCTGCTTTATTTCTTTCTTTCTATGCATCAATCCAAACCATAATCTTAATCTGGCAGAATTAGACATTTAGAAGTCAAGCAGTACAACTAATAGGCACTAAAACGGATTCACAGGAGCATGCAATTAAGGTTGCGATGTAAGATATGAATGAATCAGAAGGAAAAAGAATGAAGAATCATTAAACTTGAATGAACTATCATGTCAAGTTCCACCAACAGCTGAACTTCTGAAACATAACCAGCTAACTCTCTATTGCTAATACCAAATAACATTATGTAAAAAGTAAAATTCCATGTAAAAGTAAATCCAGCGATAGTGAGAACAAGGAGGACCTGTGCTTAATATTGATGCTACATTTCAGCTCTTGCTGAAGATCCTCAACTGTGAGAATTGTGCCACCAGTAACCGGGGAGGGAAGCTCAGACAGCACCTAAGGGTGTTATAATCACCAAGACAAGTAACTTATCAGCCGATAACTATAGAGCTTCTTCATATAAATACACAGACATGACAATATCATACCTTGTCAAGGTTTGCTGCATAATTGGCAACCTCATCTTCCTCAAGATCATCACCCACCTCATAAAGAAGTGCCACCCCATGCATGATCAATGGGAGGCTCATGCCAAGTTTTGCTTTAACAACCTTCTCAACAAAATCCCTCAACTTCGAACGATGAGTATTGATCTCAAGTGTTAAAGGTGTCTGCTCATATATTTGCATCAAACGAGAAATTAGTAGCTGAAACAAAATTTCGTAAAGTAGGACAGGCGGAAAGACAATCTATTATACTTTACAGTAGATCATACCTCAGAACAAACATAACAAGACTTGTTTGGCTCAAAGGGCTCCACTGGCATGAGAAGCATCTTTCTTGAGGAATGCTCAAGGCAATAAGTCATCCTGCAAGGGAGTGCACATGATATTATAAACAGTACCTAATAAAAAGACATGGTCATTGTTCCATTTGTCATACTTCTACACAACATAAGTTCTCGTCACCGACTTCTTGATAGATTTGGTCAAATAGGAGTTCGTCCTTATATTGTTAGCTAATAACAAAAAATAAAAGAACGGGTAGATAAAATCGTCCTGAAACTTTTTCCAAGTCTTTTGATTGTTTTCCTTCTTGGATTTTACAAGGCCCTGGCAGCTTTCTTATTATTTTTACTTTTTACACGGAACAACAGGATGACATGCATTGCACGATGCTTTAAGAGGTAGGATGCCTTATTTTGATTTTCTACTATTTGCTAAAAGCTGCTAAAATATTTTTTATTTTCTATAGTGAATAATCAGTATGCAATCAATTAGCTAATCCTCAATCCCTAATTAGTAGGGTTCCGCTATATAAATCCTCTATATCCACTTTGCTCTATTTGGATAATACATTCCAATACTATATAATTTGTCTTCAATAATTCAAATTAGGGGTTTTCTAAAACTAGAGATTCTCTCATCATCCAGAATCATCCCTACACTGGCACTGGTGATAATCAATAACATTTCACCCAACAAATTGCATTCATGTACTTAAATTCATAATTTCTAGTACCTTATGCATAGTGTTCCCCCTTTAATCATTTCAAATTTAGAAAGAAAACTCCACAACTATTCCGTAGATCAGTTACCTTATTTGTTTACTTTTCTATCAATTCTGCATCAAAGAGACCAAAACATAGAATTCCGATAAGAATAATAAATTTGTTAATCAGAATTAAATTTACCAATGATTTTTGACGTAGTAAAAGTTATGGTTTCAGACCTTCAAAGATACTTTTACAATGATCCTCCTTTAACAGCTTAAAACTTTCAAATGAGGCCACACACTTTCACGTGGTAAGAACAGGCAAAAGTCCTAAGTTCAAGTCTTTCCACCCATCAGCAAAAATATTTCCAAACCGAGCAGAAACATCAGGCCCTCACATGAGCAGACACGCTGCAGACATAAATTAGATAATAAAATATCCCCTCTTAGCAGTTTAAACTTTTAGATGAGGTGGTCACTCTCTTCAATAATCGTAATTACTACTTATAATAACCACTGTATTTATCGCTGCGCCAAATGATTAATCATTAGCTGATTACAGTTGTTTTTCACTTGATCCTTATCAGATGATGAAATCTGCACTTCAACAAATTTGACCAAAATTCATTTAAAAAAAAAAATTGCAGTGGGAAGTGGGAAAGAGGAGAACCGGAAGCATGTGGAAATCGCTTAAAAGAAGCCTGTAGAGATCAGTCACAGCTGGCAGGAGTATCTGATATCTTTGCCATTCTAGTTGATCTCGAACATAATAATTATCTGCTTCAAAGTGAAGAAAAGCGCAGTAAATAGTGGAATCAGCCCTACCTGTAGCTTTTTACATCATTTTGCAACACCTTCATTGCTTCAAGCACAATCAACCCTGCAATGATGGCATTTGTCGTTGCAACGGCATGCACGATATTGCCAGCAATACCTTTAGCTTCAAAAAGGCTATGTAATGGAATCCCAAAAGAAGCGGCACGAATATTTGCAGCAGAAGTCACAAACTCTACAGCCAACTGGTCATCCTTATCAAAACCCAATTGGCCAATTTCCTGCGACAGTGGTAAAGACAGAAATAATTAGAACATAGATTAAATGAAATAGAAATCTAAACTATGTACAAGAGAACAGAATCAGAAGGTGGGGATGGTATCAAAACCTTCTCTCTTTTCAAGAAAAAGAGCTTTAATGCCTCGAGAAATACTTCAGAATTTTCCCTTAGGCTCCACAAATCCTGAGGATTTTTAAGGCCCAGATATGCCATTGCAGACACTGAAGAGGGGTCACAAGTTTTTGAAGCTTTATCCTTGTTTCCATTCTGTTCAACTGGTTGTGGTGGCAATACATCTTTGGTGTATAGAGGTCTAGGCCTGTGACGGTTCTTCCACGTCTCTTCATTACGTAATGCTACTTCAATGTTGTAACCAAAAACATGATCATATATTCTCCTCCCATACTGCTCGATATCTTCATCAGCTCTACGCTCGAAAACATCTTCCGCATGTTCTGACGAGCTTGAAGCATCAGTGGAACGAACATTAAGGTCATTTTCTTGATTCTTGTCTCCAAAAAGCTTTGTAAATAGCAGGTCTTTTGCCCATACGATGCAGTGAACAAACTGGAATCAGAAAACAATGTCAAAGCAAAATGTTTAAGGCAAGTCATTGCAAGTATTATTGTGATGAATACCCACATAAGCCTCTAATATCTCAGAAAAGTAGCTGATAGAGACCAAGTGCCACATTAGTGGCAAGAAACAGAAGCACCTAACAATAATCTCACTGTAATATGTGCAATATGCTGACAAGTGACAACATAGCTCTTTCATCATGTATACCAGAATGACATTTAAAATACAGATATACAGATTTACATGGCTCAGCTCAAATTTATATTAAGAAAAGGATTAAGCACTCGTCAGTACCTTTGATGGAGTGCTTGTGATTGTACAGACAGGGTAAGTTTTTGGAGCTGGTTTAGGCTGACATTCATAACATTCTGTTTTACCTTTCACATGCACGGTGACCTGCCAACAACAAATGAGTAGACCAGAAGAATTTCAGAACTAGTAGGAATTCAGTCTTTTCTTTTTATCAGGTAAAAGTCGATTTTCATTCGACAAGCATCCAGAGGATGTAATTGTGTTATAAAAACAGATAGCTCCTGTACGTTGCTTTTCAACTCCTATCTAAAACTCAAGGAGCTTACAAAATCCAAAAACAAAAGAGCAATATTTACATTACAATGGTGACACCAAGCAAAAAGATTCAATAAACATCTAGCCTTCAAGACATGAATTGGAGTAGAGACTTCATGAAAGCACCTTTGATTAGGAAATTAAGTCAGTTGATAAATAGACAGAGCAGACCACATGGTAATACACTTTGGGACCAGAACCAAAAACAAGAGCAGCCACATAGGAACCTCAGACCTTCAACAACACATAGAAAGCTACAGGATTATGTAGTTCCTCTATGACTTAGAGGGTGTAAAAACAGATTGACCTTTTGGCTAGAAAGTCTGAATCAAACAACTCCAGAGAAAAGCAGAAAAACATCATTATTGCTCCATCCTTCAAAAGAATGAGGTAAATAAGAAATTGATCACATGCAATAAAGATGATGATAATGAGTTGCAGGAATTCTTTTGAACAAGACATAATCTGATCCAATTTGGCCAACTCCACCCAACTAACAATTATTTCCAATTTTCCAAGCAAGTCTTGGAAGAACAGAATAAAAAGTTACTGGATATAACAGCTGTAACAATGATCAACATGTGTACTCCATAAATTTCAGTAAAATAGTTAAGAACCTTTTCTTAATATATCTTACTATGAACTGAATTTTTCCCCCTTCAAATTTAGCAATCTGCTTCATAACTCTCACATGGTACAATTGACATCAAAATATTGGAATTATTTTTTTATCAAGTAAAATAGTGGGAATAATAATAGCTTCTTTCACTTGAAGAGGGAAATAGAGGGATAAAATAGCGAGTAGCTGTTTTCAATTGGTAGCTAAACAATCACAACACTTTTCGCCTCGAGATACCACATGCAAGACAATATGATAGACTATTCCCTTTTATGTTTTTTTTTAATTACGTAACTTCCATTATAATATTTTAGACTGTTGCATCCAAGTTTGAATGTTGCCAAGAAATCTAAAATGTACAGACTAGCAAATATAAGACAGAGACAGAAGTTAAAATGAAATTTAGTTGCCTTGATCCCCATCAAATAACCAGAAAAAAAGAGTAGATTTTACCTGGCCGAGGAAGCCTGTAGTCCCACTTTCAACTAATGGGACACCAGATGCCAAACAAAGGCGGTTCACATGTCGCCTAGCATCTAGATTGTCAAGGCCATTAAGCACAACATTGAATTGCTTGAAAAAATCCACATTGAAGTCTGGATCTTTGACATTTGCATGGTACGGTGTAATTCTAATATGAGGCCTAAATTTTAGGACAGCCTCTCTAGCAACCTGGAGAAATTTTGAGTACATTACTTGGGAACCAAAATCTGTCTGAAAATGGATTCCAGAAAAAAGAAATTGATGTGATTTCCTTACTTTAGCCTTAGATTGTCCAACATGTTTCTGTCGAAACAAGAATTGTCTATTTAAGTTACTGACTTCGATCGTATCCATGTCAATCTGGAAATAGACAAAATGAAACATGAAACCAGGTTAGAAACTAAATGGAAGCACAGTGCAAACAAGGGACTCACACAAATAAATGGGCAAACTGTGTTTTAATATAT